GATACATATTTTATATTATAATTTTTCTTAATGAGTGTTGTTTCAATTGTCAAGCGTTTATTATATAGTTCTGACCTAATTCTTGAAGTATAATGACAGATAAACTCCTTAGTTGCTCAATGCTAGCACAGGCAGCCCGSCTGTTGCTTTGTTGAACATAAGTTGTTTTTTTTTGTGAGTCTTTGAATCGAAAGTGATCTGGTGTAATGAGACCCTGACTTCAAGAAAAAGGAATAATAAAGAACTAGCATTTGTGGACTATTGGATGATTGGTAGTAAAAAATAAATTAGATTTAGACTCTCGGGAGATATCGTGACGTAAGTTATAGCCGTGTTATGACAGAATTWAGCTTATTCACAACAATTAGATTTTAAACATCATCTCTATTTGTGAATTTTTAGCATTTGTGTGATAATAAATACGATCAAATTGACTTTTGTGAAATTGTTCTATGGATCGATGATTATCAATGACTCTTTTAGTGGCAACTTCTTGACCATATTGACTTTTGTGAAAAGGCTGTCTTTGCGGACATCTGTTTCTTGTAAGAACTATTTTTCCTTTTTAAAACTTGATCATTTAAAGAAGAAAGACGTTTTATTTGAAAACGACGCTCATTATTAACTTCATCTTGCAGCGTACCTGCTGAAAACTTTGGAAAATAGTATCTGATCGAATACATTACTCAAAGAACTAAATCTACCATCATGTTTTGCTCAAGAAATTGTCGTACCTGCATAATGCTCCATTTTTTAATTCAAAGCGCAAAGAGAGAATTTGACCGATATAGTCTTTTGAACGAAAAAGCATACGTTATTGATTTTTTTTCCGAACAGCTGATAGGTTGACTATATAATTGTATTCAAGCTCGAAAAACATTACACCAAAGTCAACAAGCATTGTAGTTAATTTACCTATTATGGACGAGCTGCATGAATAAAAGCTTTGGATTAAAATTAACAATTTTTTATATTATTATAAATGTAAGTTCATGAGCTTAACCAGTCTCGAAAGATCTGCGTAAATACAAACGTAAGTCAACTGCCGTCTTTCTGAGCATCTTCAAATAGTGAGTTAAGGACTTTTAAAACAAGTTGACATATTGCGCGATCTGTAGCAAGTTAAGAACAATTTACTATACATAATACCATCGAGAAGAGCACCAGTTTGAAGATGACGGGACGGAGCTATATGATGCAGGCATTTGCACTGT